TGTGATGGGAGTAGGTGTGTAATGTATGAACGTAATTGAGTCAATTAACGTCCCCACCATAACACTCTTTCATTTTTGTATTTTGTAAATTGTTATTTTTTTGTCATTTTGGTTATCATTTCAACTTTCTTGGATATTTCGATGGGATTTGTTTTCTTTTCGGTTATCGTGTTGTGTTGTTGTATTTTCTTTATGTTGTTCGTTTACTGGTTTGTTTATGTAACCTGTTTCATAATTACTGAAACTTTTTTTTCCGATAACCGTGGAGATCCCAAAAGCTATCTAGGTCCAAAACTAATCACACGAGGTCTTGCATTCGGGTACACGTTTGGAAATATTCTAAAAAAAAAATTATATGTTGTTCGTTTATTGATTTGTTTATATAACATGTTTTGTTTTTCCGATAACCGTGGAGATCCCAAAAGTTTTCTAGGTCTAAAGACTAATCCTACAAGATCTTGCATCGGAGTACGCATTTGAAAAATAGTCTAAATTTAAAGTTGTTAAGGGGACTTGAACCCAAAAATAATTATTGAATACTTCTACAAACGAATTTATTAAAATTATGCCAGTACATGTACTCCAAGACATGCCACAATGTTGATCAAACAATTGCGCCAAACTCATTAAAAGCAAACTCGCAGGACTGGATAGATCCAAGCAACAATCTTAATCAGCCACATAACAAAGCCAAGCAACTTATCTCATGAGTACTTGGTTCCAATTGTTTCATCTCCTATATCGACTGACTAGTATCTCTCCACTCTCCTTTCTCCTCTCACGTGTGTACTTAAAAACTAGCTCCTATTTCTTTTGTAACCATCACATTAGTTTGGTCCAAATGATGTTACTTTTAAGAAGGGGAGTCAAAGTAGGTGAATACAACAAACTGTTTTTTTTTTTAAGAATTACCAGATACAAACATAATTTTGTTTAGTTTGAGTAACAGTTCATATGCACACATTAAAATAACATAAAATCTCGAAAAGCTAAATCTTTTACATGCACATACATGCCATATGAGGTGAAAGAAGCCAGTCAAAAGTAAAAGTATGTAACTGTTAATTAGTTTTTTGTGTGTACATGTTTCATGTTTCGTTCAGTTTGAAATTGGGTATAAAGTTTGTGAAACGTAATTATTACGTGGACATTTTGCAAACTATAATATTCACGCGATGACGCAACACGCCGTTTGCATGACAAAAGCAATGCCCAATGGCATTATGTAATAATTAGCTAAGCTCATGAAATGACAACTATAACCATATACTCCTATATATAAAGTTATAATGTTTTTCTAAAATTACTGTAACTGATATAGAAAACTTTTAAATTAGTGATATCACTTATCATGACAGAGATTTTTTTGTTAATATGATTATTAGAATTTGATATGTGTCATTATCAAACTAAGCATGAATACACACACATGACCATAGTTGTAGTTTCGACGCAGAATCTAGAAATGTAACGTGAACTAAAGATATTCGAGGATAGATTTCGACTATCGATTTTTTTTCCAGAGGATGTGCTACGTAGAATAATATAAATTGAGCCATCCAGTTGCTGATAAAATATAAATTCATCATCGACCTCATTTTCTGATTTATTTGTGAAATACGCGTTATATATATATTAATCGAAAGCTAAATATAAGAGTAAAAAGCAGTGCACAAATTAAAGAAAATCTAATACAAGAACTGATCAAGTTATTAATAGAAATTATATGGATGGATGGTAAGGCGCCTTCATTGAAATTTGAAACATTTGCATGTGCATGCATTTTTGCTTCCATCGTAGCATTCGAACTTCGAAGGTCTCCAATTAATTTATATCCCGATTTAATACATTTGTACTAGTTGTATTTTTTTTTATCAAAAATTTGTACTAATTCCGTTTATATGGTTTTTCTTTTCTTCATTTAAGCATTGGGCAATGACTCGGGATGTCGTGTGGAATTTCATTTTAATTTATATGTTAGTGCGAGATGGAGATAGTTTCGCATTTGCACCAAAGACATGGTGATATTTTATTCGTGTTAGTTATATATAGCTCATTTTTTCACCTGTTTTGACTTTATAGGATAATGTTCAATGAAATTAATGAAGGCAAAGATGAAAGAAAGGACAAAGTGGGGGGAATATATTATAGTTTTCTTTGGTCAACATATTATAGATAGTCTTTATCAAAAAAAACATATATATTATAGACAGTTTAGTACAACATAAAGAAATCTTATTACGTAAATTTAAATTTCTTTGAAACGGATTTCAGACAATGTGAAAGGAAACCTATGTCAAATAGCCGATTTTGGTTAAGTTTTACTGGCTTTTTTGTTTATCCCGACATCAGCTCTTCTTACTTCTTCTTTTTTTTTGTCTACTTCAGGTTATCTTCTTTAGATCTAGCTTTCTCTAACTCATTGTAAAAAAGACACTTATTAAGATGTTTAGTAGACATTTTTGTCTATGCGCGTTTACATTAGAACTTGATTGACATTATAGGGGATTGTAGCTTAAACTGCCATCAACCGTAGTTGCGAGTTCGGAGTTAAATTTGGACCTTCGACGTTCTACAACCACTTATATGGACTGTTTTTCCTTTCACTATATTATTCACATACACACAAAATTGCTGGATGGATCATGAAAACGCATTTAACAAACTATTTTGTGGAAAACTACAAATTTATTTGAAAGATGTTTCAGTCATTGAAAAAATTAGAAATAGAAATTGGACTATAACATAACTTTTGTTTCACTCGTTCCGATTTGCTTGTTCCTTCTAAGTTCCATCTTGCCAATCAATTATACACCAATCATACTAGCACCACGAAACTGAATAACTTATATGGCCCCTAGTCTTTTGCTAATATAAATAGCTAGGGCCGAGAAAATGTCATTAGACGCTCAGATAAAGAATATATACTACAACCAGATCCGACTAATTGATACGTGAGTTTTGGTCGGATTACAAAAGAGAGCTTGGATTAGACTAGGGAACTAAGCTTGTATTGGATTAAGGAACTAGCCAACCTCTCAATTTCAGACACATGGAAACCAAACTTGAAAATTACTTACGAGTGACTCACTCGCCACCTATATAAGAGATCATTAAGAAACTAGGTTTTGTGATCGGATTCTTGTGTATGTGATAATGTGAGATTGAGAATCTCTAATAAGGGTTTCGTGGACCTGTGTTTTCATTCAGAGATGACCATAAACATGAGTGTAGTTAATGTGATTTGTTGATTGAGTATTTATATTTTTGAGTTGTTGGGTTAAATGAACAGCTATTATTATGTACTTTGATTTACGGATATATTAACAGTTCATGAGGAAAGTCTACCGACAATTGATTTAACATGAACTTTTTTTGGTCGTTGCTCCCATTCTCTATTCTTCCTCCCATTCGCATACGCCAAATCTGAATTGGAGAAACCAGTATAGTTCAAATATCACATCCTGATGAATGGTTTTGTTTATCTCAATCAGCTATATAGTATAAGAACCCAACACAATCTAATTATAAAGTGGATAACTTTAGTACTAGTGTTTATAACTTTGTAGTTCTGTGCATGAAAGTCATGTTAGTATGTTCCCTAATCCCTTGTCCTTTCAGCCTACAAAACAAAAGTTTGGGGATAGGAGCTGTTCCAATCACGACTCAACTAATTATGTTTTAGACATTCTCGATAAATTTTTACACATGGCAGTTTCCTATGTATTAATGGAAAAGATTTTTTAAAAGAGTGGCTGATCTTTTTGTTGTTGTTGTTGTCTATGTCTCATAGTTATAGAGAGATTTGAGGGGTTTTTTTTCGTTGTTATCGTAATGAAATTTTTACTTACATTATGCTTGTGGATCTTACAGTCTTAACCATCGCATAGGCTTTATATAAATCCAAACTTAATTGGTTTTATAATAGGCTTTTCACAATAATTTTTTTCTTTAACTAGGTTTGATTCGTTTGAATAAAGCTGGAGTCTTTAAATGAATATAGCTTACATTAATTTAAGAAGAAAAACATTTACTATAGAACATGGCGGGCCTATATAATTAAATACTACAAAATCATGGATTTCGACGAGACACCAAGCACGTACGTAAACCAATACATTTACATGAATTATTTCTCTTGTTCCCTTCAAGAAGAATATTTGATATCTTAATGGTTTTTCTTATGTTTTTGCCATAACAATAGGTTATTTATTATTATTTACAATAATATAAAACAAAAGTAACACCAATGAAACTTTGATTGATATCAAAGGAATTCTACATAAACTATGGAGAAAGAAACAAAAAAGAATATTTGATAGATTGTCATCAAGGAGATACAATCTCTAAAGAAAACATATATAGTAGTTGTTTAGCGAATTATTTGGTGAACTATATTACTAGTTTAGAGATTTTTAGATGTAAAGGAAGTGTCATCATTTAGTTAATATATATAAAATATATAAAAGGGAATGACTAAAATTAGGCCACCAAACAAACACAGAGAAATGGAGAAAAGGGGCAACAACAACCACAGTAGCGAGGATCCATCGCACACCACTCGTCTCACCAAACCCTCTTTTTTTCTTCTTCAGAGGTCATTGGGTCCCACTTAACACTTAACAAAATCCAAAAACGACTTCTTTATCGCAGCCTGGTCATTGACCTGGAAATGCTTAGGCTCCTGACCTCCATGCTCATGTCTACTTGACCCTACCCGCATATGCTTAGCTGCTCTGGCATCTTCTCCAACATCTCGCCGGAACGGACTACTCGTCCCCGCCATAAGCGACTGATCATTATTAGGATTCGCGTAATGCATAAACTGCTGTCTTTGCCTCAGCATCTCACCTCTCTCGTCCCGACGAATCTGGGAATGGATAAGAAGCAGAACCTGGCGCGGGGCGTGAAGATTGAGCTGTTGGATTGGGGTGATTCGGATGGGATTGGTTCGGTACCGGAGAAGGATTCGGCTTGGGCAGTTTCGGATCGGCGTTTTTCTGGCCACCACCAGTCGTCGGCTTGCTATTGCTATTATTGTTGTTGTTATTCTTACTGCTTCCACCATCGTTGTTGCTTGACGTCCAACGAGATTTAGGGTCATGGGAGGAAGAAGCAGCACCATCACCGGTTGGAGCGGATGACGCCGGAGCATCATCAATGGCCCTCCTTCGATCTTAGTAATCTGATTCTACCTTGAAGCAATTCGCTGGGAATGAAATTCGATCTGATAATGGAAGAATCGACTTCGAATTTCGAGATTTATTTTAGGTTTTTCTCTGTGAATTTCTGAGACGATGATGATTCGGCTCAATTCTCAATCATTGACGCGCGAGGAAGACGGAAATAAACTCTCGAGTCATCATGAAACGGCGCCGTTAGAGCGCAAAACGCTGTCGTTTAAAACATACAGAAACAGAGCAATACTATTTTTCTAGCAAATTACAGAGTAGTACACACACGTGTGTACGTGAAAATTGTAGAAGCAAGAATTTATTCACTGGAAAGAAGATATGAACTAAAGTTTTTAAAAAATATTCCAAGAAAAGGCTCTGTTTATAGAAATGCATCTTCGGTTCTTGAATCTTTAATATTGTGGTTGCTATGTTGGATTATCTATTATATTACTATAGGCCATGAGATTACTTCTGATCATCTATTATATTTCCATAGTTAACAAACAAACAAAATTACCTAGAGAAAAATCAAAAAAAAAAAAAATATATATATATATATATGATACTAGCTAGATTTTAGTAATATTTCATGCTTGCATGGGTATATGGTATAGTTTATAACTTTATATAAACAAAATCAAATAAACAGTAGAGTGACAGAGAATACACATCGCATGATGTTATTAATAAATATGACTAGCATGTGATTTCGTGTGAACAATGATTTAGCCATGTGACTAAAAAGGTGTATATCTGAAAATGGCCTAGTTAACATAAGTTTTTCACGATGGAGGAGATCTTTGCCTATGCCGAGCAAAGATGATCATACAGTTCAAACGAACAAATAAAGCAAGATGATCATATAAACCAAAATGCAATCCATTCGACTATACAAGAACACCAAAACCATAAACACCATCATACTAATTTCATACTTCACTTTATCGTCTTTTCAACATAAGATGTCAGAAACCATACAAAATCTCATATCCATCCATCCATATGAGTCTTTTAAGTTAAAACCAGAGTAATCAAATTTAAGGAGCACTACAATCGCTTACCCTTTAGAGTACTGAGCCTGGAGAAGGTCAAGGTATGTGAGTCCCATTTGTTCCCAATCACCTAAATATCATCGATTAAGCCCCATAAATCTCAAAATTTTATCTAAAAAATTGACATATTAATTTATTGGTTAATTTGAATATATTTTGGTTTGATGCATGTCCAAGCAACTTCTTCAGTCATAAACCCTAAAATTTATCCTGGCATTTCAACAGAAAAAAAACCAATCTTCAGTCCTTTTCTACTACAAGGACTGCTTCAAAGGTACCTACGCCTATTGCTATCTTTATAGGTCCTCACTAATAGATCCCTTGTCCTGATAACCATTTGCTCAGAGAAATTAAATCTTGTGTTGCATAAGATAATGTTTTTGCATGAAGTGTGTCAGTGTGACACCTGTGATGGCTGAAGCATCTAAAAGATGAAGCCTTATACAATTTATCTATTTTTTTATGATCCAAAACAAAAGCGTGTCGATTAGATTAAACCTTTGGTAATTTATCTCTGTTTACATTTTGACCATCCTATGTAATTTTTCTGGTTATACCTTATGTAACGTGATATTGACTATTTATGGTATTCACATTAGGGTTTTCTTCATTCGTTATATTCTTCATTCAAAGAAAACCAATCTTCAGTCCTTTTCTACTACAAGGGCTGCTTCAAAGGTATGTATGCCTATAATTAGAGAGATTCTTATAACATTTTTAATCCTTACTAACAAATTTGTACTTTTTTGGTAAAAACATAATAATTGTGTATTTTATTGACCATTTTCCCGTTATTTAATGTTTGTGTAAACTTTTTTTTTTTCCAAATATTCATGTGTAAACCTTGATTTGATCAGTAAACCTTCATTTAAGTAACACTATGTTAGTCTTTATATATGTGTCTCATAAATATTTTTTGTTTCTAATTACTGTCCAACCAAATGGAAATACTCTATTCATTTTTTCTTTTGTGGGAGAAGATCATAAAATTTGTAATAGATGTTCATATGTTTTGGTTTTCATTTACATGTCCTAGTTGTGTTACACGTTAACCTCTTTAGTTTTTTCGTTATTATAAATATTTTTTGTTTATAATTACTTTACAACCAAATGAAAATACTCTATTCATTTTTTTTTGTGGGAGAAGATCATAAAATTTACATGTCCTAGTTTTGCTACACGTTACTTGATCCCACGTTGCGTTTTGATAAACCTCTTTACTTTTTCGTTATGATATACTCCAAGTCTAAAGGTTCTTCTTTTCAGACCTATTTGGTACATGCTCAAATCAAATTAAAATATCACTACAAGTTTTAAGAGGGAAAAGAAGAATGGTTATTTATTAAATAAAACGGTTCTGCAAATTAGAGGTCCATTATGTTTTCTCGGCCCAATATTAGATTCACGGACGCGATGAAAGAACTATTAATCATACAATTTTTTCTAGTCAATGTTTATCATTGAACTTGCTATTCTACGAATAGTGACCATTACAAAGATTCATGCAGCACTATTTAGACTTTGACTGGTTTGTTTACTACAAACTGAAGTACATTTTCAGTAGCAATGAGTTTTTACTCTAAATGCAATTTTGTTTTCACCAATCAAATATAAGGATTTCATCTTCTTCTTCTTTCTTTTTTTTGTTTCAATTTTATTTTGCCAAAAATCAGAAAAGAAGGTTAACTAGAGAGAAAAGAGAAACAATTAAATTCTCAACTAGCTCATGAGGAAAAGATAGGAAAATATATTCCTCTAAAATTCACATTTTTTTCTTTCTAAAAATCATTTTCTTTTCCTCTTGACACCTCTCGCTCTCTATTTGCTTTGTCCCCGAACCCAAGCCCCATGTAGGCGAATTCATTTGATTCATTGTTGTAGAATCGGTACATGCTTATGTTAATCACCTAAAATATATTGAATTTTCTCATTTACGATTAGAGAGAGTAGACAGAGTTTTCGTCTTCGAGCTCCCAAAAGAACTAAAGCTATAAACATCTTTAAACGGAAATGAATTAAAGAACTAAATCGAAGTTTATTTATTTATATAGGAAAGAAGTTAGAAGGATAAAGTTATATGACTAGAGTTTATTTAGCACGTCTTAAATAGGAATCGTGAGTAGCATAAACCGTATGTATTACGCCATTTATAGATCGACACGTGGGTTTGGGCGTGGTGTAAATTACAAGTCAAAAGAAGCTAGGTTATTCAATAATAAAAGTTTTTTTCCTTTTCCTTTTGATACAAATGTGATAAAATGTAATTGAACAGCAAACGCTTAACAAAGTGGTTTGGTTCGGTTTGGAGTGGTGATTTTGATTGGCACCGACTGTGTCTTGCCCACCAAGCATAGATACAGTAGAAAGTTAATGGGACTTATGACGTTTATGGAATATAGCTATTTTGAAGATTGGAAAAGTTACTTGGTGGGCAAGTCCTCGCTCTCTATTAATGGAGCAAATATTGGATTAGGGTTTCATGTTTTTTTGCATCCCTATTCATGTCTCTTCTTCTCAGCCGGCGGCTGTCGAGGGTAAGAAGAAAAGCATCTCTTCTTGGTCATGTTTTCTCCAATGGCTTCTCAACTTGGACTACTCCTTGTCTCATCATCCGCGCTGAAGCTTGCGGAGAGGGGGAGATGGGAAGACTCGAGATTTTTAATGCGAATGAATATAAATCCACTCTCTTGGAAAAGAAGGTGCCTCTTGAGTTGACGTCTAGAGAAACAAGGGTAACGATCGGGGCATCTCACGGCTGGATAGCTACACTCAAGGACGACGGAATCCTCCGTCTCCAAGACGACCTAAACCCTGCTGCATCCGGGACAGATCCGAAACGCATCCCGCTGCCTCCTCTTGTGACTCTGCCACGTTGCCAAACCCAAATCGTCACCAACGTGTCACTGTCCTCATCTTGTCCGGAGAGTGATGAGGACTGCGTTGTGGCTGTCAAGTTCTTGGGACCTCAGCTCAGCTTCTGCAGGCCAGCCGCCGCTAAGAGTGAGTGGACCAACATCAGAGTCGCAAACCCATGTTTCTTCTCCTCCCGGGTCATGTTCTCCGAGGGAGATGGCATGTTCCGCATTCCCGGAGCTGGAGGACACGTGATTGGTTCATGGGATCTCAGCAAAAAACACAAACACAAGATCCAGAGGCTACGTTTTCAAAACCTCCCCGAGCTGACCAAGGCCAAGCGGGAGCTTTTGCATTCGTGTCTCACAACGGAGCACCTCGTGGAGTCAAGAACCACTGGAGAAACTTTCATGGTCAAGTGGTACAGGAAGGCCGCCAAGGGTCTCTGGAGGTTGAAGACGAGAGCTTTGATGGTGTTCAAGCTTGACCAACAAGGAAACGCTGTTTACACTCAAGACATTGGAGATCTCGTCATTTTCCTCTCCAATTCTGAACCTTTCTGTGTTCATGCTAGCTCCTTCCCCAAACTGGAACCTAACATGGTCAGAATCTTAGACGTCGACGAATGTGGAACTATCTTTCTGGACATTTCCTCCAAGTATTCCTCCGTCATTACTCGGTCTCCTACACTCCCGGCCCCATACCATATCCCACCTCAAAAAATTGACCCTTCCTTAGTTTCCACCTTAACGCCATAGTTTACTAGTACAAGTACATGTAACATCATGTTACATATGTTATGTACCCGTTTTTATATTCTCAGAAGGATCTACATCCTCCGGTAACGCAATACAGTCCCAGCACCCACCAAAAGTAACATCATTCATATATTGCGTACACACTGGTCATTGTCTTCTTCTGAAAGCTTAACCTTACAAATCAAATCCCCATATGTTCATATATCACTTGTATCAAAGTCATTTTCACAGAACAATGAATCCAAATTCTTTTCCAAATCAGGACATAAGACTGTTCTGAAGCTATGGATTCGACGATCAAGATTGACCCTTGTTCCC